TCAGAGAGCCTGGCAAGCTACCGAGAGTATCCCGCCCTCATGGTAGAGCCTGACATGCTAACCGCAGCATATTCAATATGCTAAAAACAGTAACAATGAATGGTCCTCATTCCCCTGATCCTGAAGGAGCCCCCAATATGTCATCGGGCTACACTAGCACGTGACAGGGATGAACAGAGACATTACTGGGCCCGCTCGAGCGAATCCATGAACAGTGGGGTGATAGTGATAGTGATAGTTGGGTTACACTCCAATACTCAGGTGTTAGTCCTGGTTCTGCACTCAATAATTACTCCTGATGGTGCTTGGGGCATCATATGGGATGCGGGGGATCAAACTCGCATCAGTTGCATGCAAGGCAAATGCCCTACCTGCTGTGCTATTGCTCCTGCACCATCAGAGGCTATTTTTACCAATTGTGGTACAAAGTGGAACTTGAAATGTTAGTTGCAGCCCCCAAAACCTCCTTTACACCAGAACCCAGTGGATGCATCACCAAGGGTGTTCTTGTGTGTCCAACACCGCTGTCCCACTTGTAAGCAGGATCTGCTCAAGAGGCGGGTGGAGTGCTCCTTAGGAACACCTGTCCTGGCTGCAGGAGTGCAGAGGCTGCTGGGAACAGCTCACAGGTTGTTATGGATTGAGAGGGAGGATCTCAGCTCCAGTTCTTATGCACAGTCAACATTCTTCTGTCACATCGACAAGGTTTCTTTCTTTCTTTGTTTCTGCTTCTTTCTTGGAATATGAAAGTGCCAGAATGCTGTCATTGAGATATCTAGGACTGATACTCTTTTTACATAAAAAATATTGAATTACCATGAGTTACAAAGTTATTTATGATTGAGTTTCAGCCAAACAATGTTCCAATTCCTTTATCAGTGTCCACTTTCGTCCACTAATACCCCCAGCTCACTCCCACCCCGTAGTGCTGTTATTCCTTTCTTTTTCTTTTTGGGTCACACCCAGGGATGTTCAGGGGTTAGTCCTGGCTCTGCACTCAGGAATTACTCTTGGTGGTTCTGGGGGGACCATATGGGATGCTGGGGGATCGAACCCTGGTTGGCCAGGTGCAAGGCAAACACCCTACCTGCTGTGCTATTGCTCCAGCCCCAGGTCCTGCTATTCTTAAGCAGGAAGAAGAGGCTTGGGAATGTCGGAGCCAAGGTCAGGGTTTGACACAGGCCCAGGAGCTGCTCTCCATAGGCAGGCCACAGCAACTCCCTATTTCAAAGACATCAACCTTCACCCTGTCCTCCCGTTGTTCATCGATTTGCTCGAGCGGGCCCAGTAATGTCTCCATTGTGAGACTTCTTGTTACTGTGTTTGGAATATTGAATACTCTCTGTAGCTTGCCAGGCTCTTCGAGAACCTTCACCCTACATCTGGTCAATTGTGCTCCTCTGTTATCAGATGGGAACTGCCTAGAGAAATTCTTCCTCCCCTCCTCTCTCTTACCAAGGACCCTGCCTGTCGCCATGTCCCTGTAATACTTCTGCACTGCGATATCCATCTCCAACCCTGGAAGATGCAGGACGGGATGGGGAGTAGATTTATGGGGGCTGCCTCTGCCAATGACACCCATACCTCTCTCAGACCTTGTCACTGGTCCAGCCTGTTGACTGATAACTGCCTGGGCCTCACCCCATTGGCAGCCCTGGGTTTCGGGAAATGGGAGACAGGACGGGCAGGCTGTAGACCACAATTGACTCCCCACTTTCTTCTGAAAGAAAGCATCAGGGAAGGTGGTGAAAGATGTAGGAGAGAAGGGGCACCCCTTATTCAAAGACCTCGCCCCTTCCTCAATATGTATTGATGGGGGTGCCCGGGCTCAAACCTTTGTTTAACCATTTTCATCTGTGTATTCTGGGACAGCTTACTTGATCTTTTGTATTCTTTTTTTTCCATCAGGAAAATGATAATAAAAATTTTTTTCTTCATTAAGTTAGTTTTCTGAAGCTATCCATACCATAGACTAATATTGTACGTGGCCCACAAAAAACATTTGATAAGAACTTATCATTATTACTAAGATGGTGATGGGTACTGTGATGATGGTGATGATGATGGTGATGATATGGGCTGAATGGAATCTCAGGAGGTCAATTTCACTCATTCTTCTATTTTCTCATACTTTTCTGCTTATAAAAATCACTTGGGACTTTTGAAAAATTAGTTAACACAACTACAGTGCAGGTCAGTGAAATCTGCAGAGGTGGCTTTTAAAGCTCTCCAGGTGAGGCCAACAAGCAACAAACTTAGAAACCACATCCATCTCTGTGCCATCCAACCAGTGGAGGGGCTTTTCTTAGGGACAATTTTTCTGGAAATCTCGCTTATCATCTAATGTCGACCTGAGATTAAATGTCTCATTTGGGACTGGTACCATCCCTCTTGCTTCCCTTTAAGCCAATGTTCTCTTGCTTTGAGGGAGCAGAGGACGGCTGTTTACTAACACTTGCTGGGTGTATCTTCCCTAGCCCTTCCAAGGAAAGACAACTTCCCACCACCCAGTGGCACAGGACACACAGAGACAGAGTTGGGTATTGATGCTAGATACTGACAGCGAGTCAGAGTTAGAGACCAAAGATGCTTTGTAAAGCTGTCTGCAGTGTCAACCTAAATTTGATTAAAAGTCTGAATTCCCCCATGTTCAGCAGGAGGCTGAATGAAAATGGGGGTAAGTTCTGGAAAAATTCTCTTCCAAGGCCTCTGTGCCCTCAGACTCCTGAGTTCCCTCCTGCTCTTTCCCATCCTTCCTCCAGGAAGTTTCCTTGTCCTGTGTCCCTCTGGCCTTTGGTGCTAATACTTTCCTAGGTCTCTCCACGACCCTAGTTTCCAACCCCAGAGTACCCACCTCATCCCATACGTCATCCCTGGAGGTGAGTTTGAGTCTGTTGCCTGCTTCGTGGAACCTTCTCCGGTTGCTTCTCTTTAGCAAAACTGCCCCCACCCCTTGCTCTGGTCTCAGGGCTGTTTCCATGACAAATGCCATCAATCACACTAATAGTCCCTGACCGAGTGTTGACTGTCTTACACGCCGGACTAGTGTTTCATGAAACACCAGAATCCGTGTTTCACGCTTTCCCTAATTGCCTCTGGCTTCAACTCCATTCTGATTCCTCCAGTCCCTGCGACCACAGGCCAGTAGAAGCAGGACTGGCAGCTGAGACCGGTGGTGGCACATTTCAGGCTCACCCTCTCTCTGTGTTGCGGTGTCTCCTGGAAACGGTCCACCAAGCAGAGCCAGCAGAGGTGGAGGTGAGAAGAAGGTGTGGCTTCAGGCTGCCCACAGAGCCCTCCTGCCTGGCAGGCCTTCTGGCCGCTGCTCCCCATGCCATCCCACATCGCTCTGCTCTTTCCCACAGTCTGCCGTTTCCCACCTGGCAGCAGTGATTTCAGACTCAACAACAGCAGAACATTTGCTTGTTGTGCACAGGCGAATGAAAAGGACATTTATAATATTAGGGAAAAGACCTCCTTTAACCCTTACTAAACCAATTTGCTTTCGATGTGACTCCTCTCTGTTCTTGATTTTATGAGTTCGGAGATATTGCAGAGATACCACTGTGTACCATTTCATTCATTCCCTGTCACATCTGAAGCATTATCCAATGCTGTTGCATGGTCCTAACAGAAATAATTATGTCTAAGTGGGAAAACCATCATTTAGGCTGGACATCGGTATCCCTCACGAGTTAAGTTATAGATGAAACCACCAACTCTTTGAGCCTGGAGAGCAAATGTGCCCCATTGTTGGCCATCCTTGATGCTGGCTGAGAGAGCTTGGCCCCAGACCTGGTGTCTAGGAGAGTGTTGCAGCACGAACACCCCGAACACCACAGCACTGCTTCGTAAGCGCATGGGCAACAGAGGAGTTTTACAATTGTTGAGTCTTTAAAAAGTAAGGTGTGTGTGTGTGTGTGTGTGTGTGTGTGTGGTGTGTCTGTGTGTGTGTGAACACCACTTGTAGCAGCTAGAGAGATAGAACAGTGGATAGGGTGCTTGCCTTGCACGTGGCTGACCCAGCTTTGACCTCCGGCATCCCTTATAGTCCCCTCAAGTCCCTCCGGGGGTGATCCCTGAGAGCAGAGCCAGGAGTTACCCCTGAGCACCTTCGGGTGTGGCATAAACCTCATCCTCCCAAAAAAATCATTCTTTTAGGGTAATCCATTTCACTCTAGTTTACAGAAAACATTGTCTATAACAGGTTGGAAATACGGAAAAGAAAAGAGCAAAACAGAAAGAGAATAGGGTAGATCAGTCTTTGGGTCTAGAAGACAGTGTGGAGGCTCTGTGAATTCACATGCAGCTCTCCAGAGATCCAGAACCTCATCCGTCTTATCTCTGAGAAGCCTGAAGCTTACAGAGCATCTACAAACTACTTCTCCTGGCTTCCACTTGCACTCAATGACCACAATGCTGTGTTTTGGCATGATTAAAACTTGGGATATGCCAGTGGGCGGTAAGAGTGGGGAGCAGGGGGTGGGCGTGGGGAGGCCAGAGCAGAATCTTGGCCTCACCAGCGCAGTGCTGTGGCACCACGTGTCTCCACCCTCTTCTATGCTGTGGTTCCAAGGCAGCTAGATTGCCCTAGATCTCCCAGGCACACCCCAAAACAAACAACTCGATGGTGGCGTCTCTTAGGAAGATCTCAATGCATGTTTGGGGAAAACTTTAGAGGAGTTTCCAGCAGCTGGATCCTTAGTGATTACCGCACACCGATCTCTAAATGGCCAGAGATGAATGATAAATGATCAAGCCGGGGAAGTTTGTCTACAGTGTGCTTTTTTGCAACTCCTAGATGTGAGATCTTAAACAGATGCTCCTGGCAGGCGAGCTAAACATAGTCCCCTCCCAGGATCCGGAATGCCCAGCCCAGCAAGGATGTATATATAGGGACCGCGCCAATCTCTTACCACAGGAGTCAGAGCTCCTTCCCTCCCCTGATCTCTGCCTCTTTCCAGTTTCTCTCCTTGGCTTCCCTGGATGCCCCAGCAATCATGAGCCGCCAGTTCAGCTCTCAGTCTGCGTTTAGCTCCCGGAGCAGGCGGGCTTACCGTTCTGGCTTCTCTGGGGGCTCTGGTGGTGGGAGCCGGGCAGCAGGGTCTGTGTGCGTGGCCCGGGGGAGGTGTGGCGGCGGTGGTGGTGGCTATGGGGGCTATGCCAGGAGCTTTGGCTCTCAGAGCCTCTACAATCTGGGCGGCAGTAAGAGTATCTCCATTAGCCTAGTGGGGAGAAGCCCTAGTGGTTTCCGGCAGGGAGGGGGATTTGGAGGGGGCAGGAGCTTTGGGGGTGGTGGTTTTGGAGGTGGCGGCTATGGAGGAGGTGGATTTCGGGGTGCTGGATTTGGAGGTAGCAGCTTTGGGTTCGGGGGCTTTGGTCCTTCTTGCCCCCCGGGGGGCATCCAAGAGGTGACTGTTAACCAGAGCCTCTTGCAACCACTCAACCTGGAGGTGGACCCTGAAATTCAGAGGGTCAAGAGCCAGGAGCGGGAGCAGATCATGGTTCTCAACAACAAATTCGCCTCCTTCATTGACAAGGTGAGTGCCCCAAGGGAAGCGGAGGGTCTGATCGAGTTTGCCATCTCTCAGCACATGGCTGCCTAAGTTTGGTCCTGACAACCGCCTCCAGACATGTGTTCTGGGATTTGAAACAAACAGTTGCCTCACTTAGGGTCCCATTTTGACTACTGGGAGGGGGATCTACTTTGGCAGCAGAGTAGATAAGAGGTACAAAGACCAACAAAAAATGTAAGGTTAATAAATTTATTTTAATTTATCATTATTTGCTTTAAATCCACTCATCCATCTATTCATCTAACTGTTCACCCATCTTTCACTGAATTATCAATCCAGCTTCTATCATGTCATCCATGCACTGAATTACTACCCACTTACCCACACATCCATCCATCCATCCATCCATCCATGCATATACACATACATACATACAACATCCACCCTTACACTTATCTACCCACTGACTCACCCACACATCCATCCATACACTGGGCTACCTATTTACCCACTGCCGTACCCACCTATCCACACGTGCATCCACCCATGCATCCATGCATCCATCTATCCATCAATCTACACACGCATCCATACATACATACATACACTGATCTACTTATGTACTCTTCACTGACCCACACAGCCATCCATCTACCCATCCATCCACTTATCCAGCCATTCATGGAAATACCCACCCCCACCCCTATATCCATCCATCTCACAGACATTCACTAAATATCTACTGCATGCCATATTCTGTGCCAAGTTCTACAGAGTGACTAGAACACAGGTCCATAGAAACTCCAGCTATAAAGAGGAGAGAGTTCTGACAGTATTTGGGAGTATGTTAGTAGGTATAGCATTCATCACTTTGTCCTTTGAGTTGATAGCTCTAAGGATGGTGTGATGAGTTCTGCCTGCTAGGTCCAGGGATCCTATATCTGACAAGGGTCTTAAAGGTCGAAAAAAAATCCAACAAATCCTCAGAGCAGAGATTTCCAGGCAAGAAGGACATAAAAACATGTGATGTTGCCAGGAATTTTCAAATGGTTAAAATTCCTGGAGAAAATGGTATGACAGAGGAAAGACGAGAGAAGTGGGGAGGAAGTCAGAGAGGCAGACAAGTACTGTAGGGGAATCCATAGAGGTTGATATGAGCACCATGCTGAGGACTGTTCTGATCCAGTAATGGACCAGAGGGAGTCACGGCTCTCCCAGTTCCCTGAATCCATTCAGGTGAGGTGTGGTTCAGGCCCAGAACATCAAGCACAGGCTGGTGGTAAGGACCACATCCTGGCATTTCCTTTTCCAAGAGGTGGAAGTATGGCAGCCATTGGAGACTTCCTAGAAAGTTCTTTGTTTTCAGGGATGTGATGGGAAGTTCAACGATGAACTTTTAGATATTCAGTGATGTTTTCTCAGTTGAGTCCAGAGCTTGACCTGTGGCCTGAGTCAGAGTAGCCATAGTACCAGCCCTCTGCTGGGTGTGTGACCCCTCTAATATGGTGTGGACACTGAAGACAGCCAGCGTGTATGGCCAAGAGAATTGAGGCCCAGAGTTCAACAGAGAAAATGTGTCTGGATACTTGTATTCACCTGGAATGAGAACTTGGCTATCACCTGCTCCTTTTCCCACACACATACTCAACAGGGGCAGGGAAAGTGGGAACAAGGAGGGGAATGTAATGGAGACAGAGAGTGGGGTCAAGACCAGGCCAAGGAACGAACAGGGCACTTGAATGGGCCATGGCTTGCTGGCAACTGGATGCGAGAGACTCTCATTTGATTGCGGTTCCTGCGGTAATGGAAATCTTTGGTTTTATGACACAGGGCTATGGGCAGAGGCTCGGAGGCAAGTGGCTGTGACTTCCTGTCCTTCCCTAAGGACACGATCTGTGATGAGCAGGGGTGACCTCCCCTCCAGCAGGCTGGAAGGGGGCATGTGTCTATGAAAGCGATTTCTGATGCACTTTCTCATCTGGTCCTTCTGTTTTCGTCCTTAAAGCATAAATCCTCTTCCAAACGTCTTACTAGTGCCCTTCTTTAAAAACATACCACTTCACCTCTCGGTTAGAATCTTCTATTGGCTTCTTATCTCCTTTGGAATGAAAGGACCCGTGGTTTGGTCCTCTTAACCCACAGCTGCTGTGTCCCCGGGATTGCATTTCTGAGGATTGGGGGAAGTTTCAATTACCACTACATGGAACAGCACTCAAGTGTCAAGCATTCCATGAGCAGAGAGAGGGGCAAACTAGAGTTCACAAACTGATATTTTTCTAGAAAGTTTCAAACTTACCATCTGCACTTGCCCTCTGACTCCTCACCTGCTTCTCTCTGGTTTCCCAGCAACCATTGCATTCCTACACCCTGCTCCCATCCCAGACCTGCCCCTGGACCTTTGCACTTGACACCCTGTTTGATTAGAACTTCTAGAAGAAAAGAGTGCTCTGGTTCCTCCCTCACCTCCATCAGGTTCTTATAGACAGGAGGGCCTTCCCGGGTCTCCCTGGGTAAAGAAGCACCCCCAGCCCAGTATTCCTGTTCACTAGCCTTGGTAACTTCCTCTTTTGCCTTATAGCCATTTGGTGTGGTTCATTTCTTTAAAGTTGTCTCCATGAGCACAAGGTAAATTCCCAGAAAAGCAGGGGTTTTATATGTAGGGCTTAGAATCCCATTTCCAGCACCCACACCAGCACTGGCAGACAATAACTGCTCAATAAATAGGCATTAAATCAAATCCGAATCATCTCCCTTCCACCACCTGCCACCATGGGTCAGACTTAGACCCTCAGAGTAAGAGAATGAGGAAAAAAAGGAGTTTTTTTTTCCTCTGAAGGCCGAGGAAGCGGCCTTCAGACAAAAAGGGATCCATAGCTCCCCATGACCATACTGCCCTGGCATGGTTCAACTGAGCTGAACTTCCCTGTTCAGGCCTGGGCTAATGATTGTCCTGAGATTCGACTCTAGCAGGTGGTTTCAAATCCATCTGCACATCACCTGTCTGGGATATTTACTAGCTCTCGCCCTCAAGTTGGATGCAGCACCCATGGGTCACAGCAACTGTGTCTGTGGGAGAATAGATCTGGTGCCATCTTCATGGCTTCCTATCCCAGCAAGAGAGCAACCTGCTGTAACCCAAACCACTGCACATCTGTCAGCCAGGCAGAGCACTGAGGGGCTTAGGGGAACTGCTTGTGGGACCAGGAAGTAGCTATGACCGGAAGGCAATGAGCAGGCATGGGGACACGAGTGACCAAGTGGAGGGTTTTTTCCAGTAAGAAATCTAGCTCAGCACAGTGCTGAATTGCATCTATTCTCTGAGTTCTCCCTGAGTATTGTTAATGAGGTATAACCTGGGAAAGGAATTTTTTAAATTAATTTTATTGAATCACCGTGAGATTGTTATAAGCTTTCATGTTTGGGTTACAATCACACAATAATCAAACACCCATCCCTCCACCAGTGCACATTCCCCACCACCAACATCCCTGGTATAACCCCCCTTTCCCATCCTCCCTCTGCCTCCATGTCAGATATGATTCCCGATAATCTTTCTCTACTTTTTGACATTATGGTTTGCAATAGAGACCCTGAGAGGTTATGATGTTTGGTCTTTTATCTACTTTCTGCACACATCTCCCATCCCGATTCCTCCAGCCATCTTTTTCTTAGCGATCCCTTCTCTATTCCAGCTGCCTTCTCCCCCTTGCTCATGAGGCAGGCTTCCAGTTATCTGGCCCTTGTATCTACTGTCCTTAGGTATCAGCCTCATGTTATGTTGTTTTATACTCCACAAATGAGTGCAGTCCTTCTATGTCTATCCCGGAGAGGGAATTTTTTGTGGGAGGCTAGGAAGAGGTGTGGAACTGGGAAAAATCACAATGGCTTTCAGTGATTTTTCTAGTTGCTAAGTTCCGTGAGGAAGTCCTGGTGCAGGAGGTTTACTCCATGGCTTGGAAGCTGGCCTCACAAGCTGGGGGAAAGGGCAGTTCAGATAGAGAAGGGGACACCAAGTAAGTGTGCTTGGAGGACCTGCTAGGGATGGGAGATGCGTGCTCAAAGTAGACTATAGAGGGAACACGATGGTCATTCAGTACCTCTATTGCGAACCACAACACCCAAAGGGAGAGAGAGAACAAAAGGGAATGCCTGGCCGCAGAGGTGGGGTGGGTGGGGGTGGGGTGGGAGGGATGCTGGGGTCATCGGTGGTGGAGGGTGGGCACTGGTGGAGGGATGGGTACTCAGCATTGTATGACTGAAACACAAGCACAAAAATATGTAAGTCTGTAGCTGTAGCTCACGGTGATTCACTAATAAAAAATTAAAAAAAAAAAAAAGAAGTCCTGGTGCAGCTTGAGCCAGCTTCTACCTTTGCAAGTTGTCTGCCCTGGGGAGAACCATGTTTATCACTGAGCCTCTAAGAGGGGGTCAGGGTGGAGGGTGTTCCACTTATCTCAGAGCAAGCAGAGTCAGTTGAGTGTTGCTTGACGTGAAGAGTTCCCCCTGAGACCACAGGAGGCACTCAGGTCACCCCTGCTAGGAAAGTGAACGATGCCAGGCAGTACTCCAGAGGGAGGCTTCTTTCCATGGATTGCTCACAACATGGGGCACTGGACTTGCCCTTATTTTCTCTGCTCCTGGGAGTGCCGCCAGGGTGGAAGCAGGCAGGTGCGGGAGCTTCTCACGGCTGTGCACGCTGTCAACACACACACACCTGTGAGAACGGGTTGCCTAATCACCAGCATGACTCAAGGAAAAACAGGGAACCCTGGGAAGGAATATTCTCTGCACCTCTGCAGAGAGGCACCCCTGCCCCCAGGACATCTTAAGGACCCGGGAATTGGGGGCAGCCTCCTTAGCCCCTAGTATAGGGGAGTCTCTTTGGGAATCTGTTTGAACCACATGAAGCAGTGGGCGTGCCCCATGTGCAGCTCCCAGAGAAATTCTGGAGAGAATGTATATGTGCGTCATGCAGGTGACATGATGTGTGTTTGTGCATATGTGTGTGCATGTGTGCAGGTGTATGGGCACATGTGTGTGTATGCTGGAGCAAGGCCAGAAGCATCACTGTGTTAGCTGGGGACGGGGAGGGTAAGCTGTACTTTGTATCAGGGGTTTTGGGGGCGAAGGTGGTAAGCATGTTGAGTGATATCTATTCTCTAGTCCATGTGAATATTTTCTAAACCCAGACAACCCCCGGCAGTCTCCACTTTAGAGAAGCTGAATGCACACTATACAACACTCCCAAACAGGTCACAGTTACTATCAGACTTCTAAGTGTTGGAAGCATTTAAATGAGGCGATCTTCCAGAAAAATACATAAGGCCAGGAGTGGAGGAGACAAGGTTAAGGATGGACACTCCCAGGCAAATGTGCTGGGAAATCATTTTAATATTCAGAATCAAATGGTATCTTCCCTTCTGGTATGTATTCCTCTCTTCCATGACAAAAACATGTCAACCAAGAGAAATGCACTGTGAGCATGTCAGGGATCCAGACGCTCTAGATTACCACTTGCTTGTGTGGTACCCATGGGGAGACTGAGAGTTCTGTGACGGTGATGCTAGTAGCTCCAGAAACAGACACTCAAGAGCAGTGGTGCCCCCTCAAACTAGGGTTTGCTTTCTGTTCTTTTCAGGCAAGTTGGCCTTTTGGCTGTGGGTCAGCCATCGTCCAGGGGTCACCTGTGAGAATTCCCGTTGGCTTCTGTTCGTCCTGTTCTCTGGTCAAGCAAAGCTCTAGGGGCTTCTCTGAGGGCTGGTGATGCTGTGGATTCATGAGTCCCATCCCCAGGAGGGAGTCTCTCAGCTCCACAGCCTGGGGTGAACTTGGAGGTCTCTTGCTCTTAGGTACGCTTCCTGGAGCAGCAGAACCAGGTGCTCCAAACAAAATGGGAGCTGCTGCAGCAGGTAAATACCTCCACCCGCACCAACAACCTGGAGCCCATCCTGGAGAACTACATCAGCGAGCTGCGAAAACAGGTGGACTTCCTAAATGCGGAGCAGGTGCGCCAGAACTCCGAAGTCAAGAACATGCAGGACGTTGTGGAAGACTACAAGAGCAAGTGAGGCTCTGGGAAAGGCCAAGGGGTCATGGCCAGGCACCGGCTCATGGCATGAGACACTCTACTTACAAGCTACATGTGTAAAGGGTGCAGGCAGGCAGGCACTGCAAGGCCCCTGTGGGCTGCCATGGTGCATCCGGCATCCCTAGGAGGAAGACTCTGCCAGTCAGCTCTGAGTTCCATGGGGAAGGGCTGAGCAGGTTCCTGGATATTGGAATCAGATAAACCTGAGTCTAATGTGAACATTTTTTGGGGGGGGGGCTTTTTGGGTCACACCCGGCGATGCTCAGGGGTTACTCCTGGCTCATGCATGCAGGAATTACTCCTGGCAGTGTTCGGGGGACCATATGGGATGCTGGGAATCGAACCCGGGTCAGCCGCATGCAGGGCAAATGCCCTACCTGCTGTGCTATAATAGCTCCAGTCCCTAGTGTGAGCTTTTTCCAGACTCATGCTGCCTGCAAATGCATCTTACTAAGTATTTGGATTTAACATTAAAATGGGGTGGCTGATAAGTGCCTCCCTGTTGAATTGTTGTAGGGGATAGACTCTTGGCTCAGTTGAAATCAGATGGCAGCAGTAGGACGGGAATGAGGCTGGAGTGTCTGTCTTTCTGGCATGCTTCCTGAGATGGGTAGGCTGGGCACTACACATGGTAGACCATTGGTCCAGGTGAAAGGAGGCAGGACCAGTTCCCAGACTGTGTCTGAACATACTAAGCACTCAACCAGCTCCAGCTTTTACGACTCACAATAGAGTGAGGGGCTGTGGGGCAGGCTTAACTCCAGACCAGATCCTCCAGCCTTGCAGGAAAGCCCCGAGCAGCTGCCTCCTCTCCATGCTGGGGTGAGAGTCAAGACAGCAAGTTGAAATTCACAGTGAAGGTGATGGGGAATAGAACCATGGATGAATTTGCTTTCTCTTTTACAAAATGTAGTCAAAGAGGTTTATCCTTTATGTCTTCAATAACAAACAAACAAACAAACCCAAGTGTGATCATTTTACAAAGGTAAAACTTTTTTGCGGGGGAGAGGGAGGGTTGTTCTGTGTCGTCTGGAATGTGGTTCTCTGTTCCCTCTGTCGACCTAGAGAACTGGGAGCTATTTCTAACTGCTGCCGGGAAGAGTGGCAGGACCTGGCAGGGGCCAGCCAGAGCCCAGAGCAGCAGGATCCAGGGAAATGCCAACAGGGAGGATTGTGGAGGGGCCAAAGGCAGTTTTAATGGCTCACTGGGTCTTTCTGTCCCCCACAGGTATGAGGATGAAATCAACCGGAGAACCAACACTGAGAATGACTTTGTCATCCTGAAGAAGGTGAGGACAGGGCTGTCCTGTGGGGATGGGAACAGGAGGGAACGCCCATGAGATGATGTGATGGGGACAAACAGCGTGCCCTCTGGCACCAGCTTGTTAAGTGTGTTACCCCAACGTAACATTCCTCACACAAAGAGGAAGGTCCTAAAGTCGCTCTGCATGGAATCTTGGGGAACTCTGGAGTCACTTTCTCCCCAGTCCCGGGAGAATTCAGATGGCAGCTTATCATCTAACCATGGGATCTGGGGAGGGTGCTGAGTGCTGTGTGTGACTGATGGAGAAGAGCTGGGGTCACACTTCTCCCAGGAAAGCCAGGGGTGCAGGTCCCTGACTTGAGTGAGGTTTAGGCCATTTGTGGGCAGGAAATGGGCTTAAGAGTCTTCTAGGGTGCTGGCGAGAGCCGGCAGCAACAGGCCATTAGCGCCGGTTTGTACTTCCTGTGTAGGATGTGGATGCCGCTTACATGAACAAGATGGACCTGCAATCCAAGGTGGACACACTGTTTGGGGAGATCAACTTCCTGAAATATTTATTTGATACAGTGAGTGCAGCCCTTTTGGGAACCACTTCTCCTTTCTCCCAGCACCTCAAGCTTCTGGATTGGGGAAGGGGAGCCCTGGAACCAGCTACCAGTGAGGCCCGGAACTTCTCTGTTCCCTGCCCTTCTCTGCTCTGTGGTCTTGTTCCCTCGGGCTTGTTGTGCAGAATCCTTAGATGGGGTTCCAGGGAAAGGGAGGCAGGAGAAGGTGAGGCAGCCCCACTGCCTTCTGGGAAATGCAACTAACATCCAGGTCCTCCGGGGACAAGGCTACCAGGATGCTTCATTAGTGCCAGGAAGTCTCAGTGCATAGGAGAGGGCAGTGATCCCTTAAAGGAGGTGAAGACTACAGCAGGGAGGGGAAACCTGCCCCTGCCTACCCTGGGAGCAACTGCTCTGGTCAGATGCTGTATAGTGGCAGCCTTACTGTATCCCAAGTATCTCCTTCCGATAGATGAAAAAGCCGGGGTGCTGGGAAGTTTCATTTCGTGCTCAGCCCTCTAGCTAGTCAATGGTACAGGCCAGATTCAAGAAGGAATGTGAGTGGCTATTTAGTGGGATTCCTTCCTATTACTCCTGAGAACTGAGGGGGGTTCATGGAGCGAGTCTGTCTGTCAGAGGGTTCAAGATGGTGGTGAAGCTGGAGTAAAGAGGGGATGGAGGGAGCAGGGACGGCAAGAAGCTCAGGGCATGTCTCAAGGGCTGTATTCAGGGCTCTTCCTCTCCCTAGAGGCTAGGGTGGGCGTCTCCATCCTCAGAGGAGGAGCCTCTAAGGCCCCGGCAACTGCCCCTCAATCTTCACATCTGGTCCAGGCTTCTCCAGGGTCACTTGGGGAAATGGCAGAGGGAAACAGGCTCTGGAGGAGATGGGACAAAGTTAGCTCTTCCTCTGGCCTACAGGAATTGTCCCAGATGCAGACTCACATCAGCGACACCAATGTCATCCTGTCCATGGACAACAACCGCTTCCTGGACCTGGACAGCATCATCGATGCCGTGAGGACCCAGTATGAGATCATTGCCCAGAGGAGCAAGGATGAGGCTGAGGCGCTATACCAGACCAAGGTGACTACTGCCCCCTCCCAGCCATTACTTCCAAACCTTCCTCCAGGACTGGCAGCATCTTTCTCTTATTCTAAAGTAAAACATGTTCAGTATAGAAAAACTTCGATAAAGATCACTCGTATCCCACTACCTCTATTAACTGCGGGCCAGAATATTTCCTATCATTTCTTGGTAGTGAACATTTATTGGAAATGTCTATGTTCCACACTTATAAATAGAAAGTTTTATATTTATAAACATAAAATTTGTACTTATAAAGCTTCATTCCATACCGTCTATGTTGTTTATATAATGTGCTATATTTAGATACACTATGTGTAGGTTCTTTTGTTTGTATATATTCATTTATTTCCCCTTTACAACAGCCCTGAGAGTCAGGAACTAACTAGGTCCAGAAAACAAGAGTGTCAGATTATTGACTTTCCTATGATTTTGTGTCTGATAAGTGGCAGAGGCAGAATTTATGCTCAGAGGTGCTATCTAACGAAGGCACACTCTCAACCATGATAATATTTTTGTTCTTTAAAGATTTAAAAAATACAATTTAATCTTTTTTCTCTTGCTTATCACTTTCGGATGCCTTTTCATGACATTAACTATTCCATACCATTTTTCACAGTAACACCTATTTCTGGGTGGGAATACTCCCTCACTCATGTGCCAAACATCCTGTAGCTAAGTGTAAGACACATCTTTGGCTACTTTAGCCTGAGTTGACCAGGATCTCTATAGAGAGTGAAGACCGGTTGAAAGGGCAAAGGCCCATCACTAAATTCTTCATTGCTGGCACTCATCTCCTTGGTGGGTTACTTGCGGCCAAGTTCCCTCCCTGGCCTCTGTACCACAGTCTTGTACACTGGTGTTCAGGGGGGCATGAATCTCAGCACCAGACCCCGGGGCCAAGAACAGGAAGTGTAGAAAGCAGAATGCCCATGACCCCCATTCAGGGTCACAGCCTTTGAGTTCCAAATGATGGGGTCACATTGACTTGTTTCAGGGCTGGAGGAAAAGGGGGATGAATTTGGGGCGAACTGTGGGGAAATGGGGTCCTGAAAAAGCTATGGAAATCATCCTCGAAAAGGATAAAAATAAGTTTGGGTGAGCAAAGTGAGGGGGGCTTCACGGTCCATGGTCACGGTCCTCCCGTTGTTCGTCGATTTGCTCGAGTGGGCCCAGTAACATCTCCATTGGAGACTTTGTTGTTATTGTGTTTGGCATATCGAATATGTCACGGGAGCTTGCCAGGCTCTGCCGTGCGGGCGAGAGACTCTGCCGGGCTCTCCGAGAGGGGCGGAGGAATCGAACCGGAGTTGGCCGTGTTGGCCGCGTGCAAGGCAAACGCCCTAGTGCTGTGCTATCGCTCCAGCCCCAAGGGGGGAGGGGTCTTAGGGTAAATAAAGTGGAGGTATAGATGTGGAAAAGAAGAGATGGAAAGGGATCCAGGATGTAGGTGAGTCTGGGATGTGGGTCTGGATGAGGGACTGGTGGTCCCGACTGGTGGTGGTAATGGGTGTGTCAAACTGAAGGGCTCTGTCAACCAGGCAATTGGTTGCAACCAGGAACCTACTAGAAACCCTGAGTAGGGCCCGGGAAGGTAGAGCCCTGCTCAGAGGGGTGCACGGTGACCGGGGACTCACTGTGGTACCTTTGACCCTCAGTACCAGGAGCTCCAGATTACAGCCGGGAGACACGGGGATGAGCTGAAGAACAGCAAGATGGAGATCGCAGAGCTCAACCGCACCATCCAGAGGCTGCAGGCAGAGATTGGCAACATCAAGAAGCAGGTGGGACGGGCACCCGGGCCAGCCGACCACAGGCACCGCCACCCCACAGAGTCCTGCTCTTGCCTCTCACCCCCACGTCTTTGCTTCTTCTCCTTCCCATGAGCAGATTGACCAGATGCATTCGGCCATCTCGGATGCAGAGGAGAGAGGAGAGCGGGCCCTCCAGGATGCCAAGCAGAAGCTGCTGGACTTGGAGGACGCCCTGCAGCAGTCCAAGGAGGAGCTGGCCCGGCTGCTGCGCGACTACCAGGCGCTGCTGGGGGTCAAGCTGTCCCTGGACGTGGAGATCGCCACCTACCGCAAGCTGCTGGAGGGCGAGGAGAGCCGGTGGGTCCTGTCCTGGGGCCAGAGTCCATAGGATTGTGAAGAGAGAGGACAGGCCCGCATTTGGTGGGGGTGTGTGTGGGGGTCAGGGTGCGGGTGACTAGAAGCTCAGGGTGAGCAGGAGCAAAGGCCATGTGTGTTGGCCGTTAGCATCACTCCCTTGCCTCTAAGCCGGATGTCCTGACACCCCAGCCTCACAGTCATGCCCCAGGGGTGATCCCCCAATGCCCAAGGGCTTCCTGAAATGCGACTCACTGGTCCCCTGGCACCCCACTATTCCCCTGCTTGGGAGCATGCTTTCCCAAGGTTGTGGGGGGAGTTCTCAGGTCAGCTGCTCCTTTGGGGTCTGACTGGTACGTCTGCTTGCTTGTTCCGCAGGATGTCGGGAGAGCTGCAGAATCACGTGAGCATCTGTAAGTGGCAGCATCCAGGGCCTGCTGGCGGGCTGGGCAGAGGGCGGGCCCGGAGGGCTGGCGACCTGCTGGTGTCAGTTCCAGTCTCAGGCAATGAAAGCCAACAGGCAGACACACACACAGCTCCCAAGACTGGGGGAAATGTGCTGAAATAAGTCGAGGCGATTTCAGTGTCCCCTTTCGTCTTAATTTGTATTTATTTATTCATTTATTTATTTATTTATTTATTTATTTTTGGATCACACCCAGCGATGCACAGGGGTTCCTCCTGGCTCTGCACTCAGGAATTACCCCTGGCATGCTCAGGGGACCATATGGGATGCTGGGAATCGAACCCGGGTCAGCCGCGTGCAAGGCAAATGCCTTCCCCGCTATGCTATTGCTCCGGGCCCTTTGTCTTAATTTTTATGACACCCAGGGGTTCCTTTCTGTCTCCCCAGCTGTGCAGAGCAGCCAGGTGACAGTCAGCGGCTCAGGCTCTGGAGGCGGCGGCGGCCGAGGCTCAGGCGGCTACAGCGGCGGAGGCAGCGGCGGCGGCTACGGCGGCGGCGGGAGCCGGGGCGGCGGCGGCGGGGCCGGTTACGGAGGGGGCTCCCGGGGCGGCAGCGGAGGGGGCTACGGGTCGAGCAGCAAAAGCAGCGGCAAGTACGGGGGCCGGGGCGGCTCCTCCCGCGTGCAGATCATCCAAACGTCCACCAACACCTCCCACAAGCACATCCTGGAGTAGAGGCGGAGCCGCACGTCCCGCCTGGCACGCGCTGCCCTGTCCCCCCTCCTACCCACCACCCCTACCCCTGCCCTTGACTTTCCCCTGATGGGTCTCAGCAGCTTTGCCAGTACATCCCCCTGTCCACGGGGAAGCCGGGGGATAACCCCAAACAGCTACTGCGTCTTTGCAGACTGGTGTGCAGTCAGAGCTGGGCCACCGGCAACTCCTTCAGCACTTGGGGTGGGTGTGGGGGCTGCCCCCTACACCCCCCCGCCCCAGGATTCCAGCTTAGCCAAGGAGAGAAAGAAAGCCCCAAAGCACCACCAAAGCGAGTGAGTGGGTGTGGTGGTGGAACTCCAGTTATCTCTCACACCCGTGCCTGCACCTGGCTGCTGGGTGAACACCCCACACCGCTCAGGGCGTCCTCAAAGAGGGTTCCCGGGAGTGGCCAGGCGGGGACCTTGTGCAGGGGCCATCCTGCCATGTTGCTCTGTGAGCCCCATGGGCACAGTTGGTGGGGCCAGGCTGTGCTGATGCGTCACACACCAATAGCTCCCATCCATTCTGGTCCTGAGTCCCTGTGTCTGGGGTTGCCTACCCCATGTGGGGTCTCAGAGGACAGGTGGTCTCGCCTGCTCTTCCCTGATCCTCCCGAGTTCTGCTCCATCGGGCTGTCCTGGGGGTTGGCCAACAGGTGGGCACACTCCACCCAATTTGCTCTGCCAGGTGCCCGTGGAGTCCGAGGCATGGGCTTGGGGCTTGAGAGCCTTCATTGCTGAACACATCAGGAAGCTGCCCTGCCCTAGCAATGGAGTTCTAAGGCTCCTTCCAGAGCGCCCAGTCCCCTCTGCTCTCTGTACTCCATTACCAAGAACCTCCTGAGAATAGGACTTCTCATGCTGGCCTGACTTCAGGCTTCGGGGTGTGCTGGAGGAGATGGAAAGGAAACTCTGGGCCACCAGCTGGCCAGGGAGAAGGCAGCCAACGTGGCTTCCAGACGTGGGGCTTCCTGCACGTGCCAGCTGATTCTAGCTCAGCTCCACGCTCTCCCTCCTCCGGGGGCATCGGGTGGGCTCAGGTGCTGTCCCCTGGAGAGAGCTGCCACCTCATCATTTCCTGGTTGAAGGTTGTACCTTGAAGGGTTTGTCATTTCTGGTGTTCCTCCAATAAATTTTCTCAGATCTCAAACTGTTTGGTCAGGAGGTGAATTATTTCCTCTTTGGTTTCTACAGGCCTCTGAAGGTAATCATGTGCAGGAGTCCAGGTTCTTACTTTGAGTACTTTTTTTTTTATTGCATGAGTAATACATAATCTTAGAACACCTTGCAGGCACAATCTTACTAATCCTCACAGTGACTGATCACTCAGCTGTCACTACATACGCCTTGGCCAGATGTTGTTCAACACATCTGTGTCACCAGCCACAACCGGGAGAGGGGGTGCAATGTGGAGCAATCATGTCGCTCGATGTTAAGGCAACCCACTCCCCTCCCCTTCTGTGAGAGGTTATGGGGATGGGAAGTTTCAGAGAGAGGAGAATCAGTGTGTGTCCCTGTGACACGATAGCCTGGGGGGGGAGAAGGGGGGTCCTGCTGGGGGACGCAGACCACCTACCTGGACAGGAGCAGAGGGAGCTGTGGCAGGTGCCGGTGTGGGGAGGGGAGTTGGTGCTACACAGGAGATCTGGACCATGGAGAGGGACTGGGGGATAGAGTGGGGCTGGTCCGACAGAGACACAGAGGAAGGGTTGAGTGTGTGGGAGTGCTGGGAGCTCAGAGGGGGCTGAGTGCAGGAGCGGCTGAGCCAAGGGGTCGAGGCTGAGCTGTCCATCTCAGGGTAACTCCCTGGAGGGATCATCAGGTCGAAAGTGGAGGACAGAGCAAAGGAAGCCAGCGACTGTAAGCGCTCGGAGCCCATGCAAGGGAGAGCCTCACAAAGGTGTGACCTACTTTCTCATTCTGTGGAGGGACCCAGATGGAATTTGGATATGGGGTTGATTCAAGCCTGATGGCATCTGGGGCTGATAAGACACTGTGTTCCCAGGCACGCCCTGCACTCTCTGAGTGGCTTCTCCCTGTCCCTGCAACTGGCCTGTGTGTGTATGGGGTGGGGTGGGGCGGGGGGACTGGGCTGAGCAAGGGAGAGAGGGGCAGGGGGCTGCCGATAGCAAGGAGGGGGGTGCAGGCAGAAGCGCTGGCCTCCACCTGCAGCTCAAGCCCAACCGAGGGCAGAGGAGCTAGATACAATCTCGAGTGTTCAGCCGACAGACACGCCTGAGCCTTTACGTCTTCTTCAAGCTCAGGCCTGGGAACCAGGAAGAGAGCGTGGGCAGGTCTACTCTGGCTCCTTACGCTTAGATGGCTTAGGATGCTTCTAGCTGGAGCACAGTCAGGGGCCGGGGCCCCCCTCTCACCTCCCAGGGGTGGGGCACTAAAAGGTACTGGAAGAATCCAGGAGACCTTTCTTCTTTTCTTTTCTTTTTTTTTTTTTTTGAGAAGTTTTATTGGATCACCGTGAGATGCAGTTCCAAACTTGCATGATTGTGTTTCAGTCAAACAGTGCTCGAGCACCCATTCCTCCACCAGTGCACATTTTCTACCACCATTGTTCCCAGTGTCCCACCCACCACCCCCACCCCACTCCCTGCCTCTGTAGCAGATACAGTTCTTCTTACTCTCTCTCTCTTCTTACTCTCTCAATGCTCAATTTTGGGCATTGTGATTTGTAATACAATTATTAAGAGGTCATCGTGTTTGGTCCTTGGTCTACTTTCAGCACACATCTCCCATCCTGGACAGTCCCTCCAACCATCATTTACTTAGTGGTTCCTTCTCTGTTCCAACTGCCTTCTCCCCCAGCATGTGGGATCGGCTTCCCAGGAGACCTTTCTTTGGGGGACATGCGACATCACTGCAGAGACTGGAAGTACATCTCCAGGAAAGAGGGGCTCACCTAAGCAGATGATCTAGAAGGACAGGTGGAGAGTCAGTTCATTGAGCTCAAGCGAAGCAACAGCCATGGCTCCCAAGATGGGAAGGTCCACGTCGGGAGCTAGCAAAGCACATGCCGAGGCTGGCTGAGTCTTTGGCAAGAGGTTGAGGTGGGGGGATCTGCCTATGGCAACTGCTGTAAGAGCCCATGAAATGGCACCTGGGAAAAGAAGCACCCAAGTCTCTGTTTCCTGTTTGGGAACATCCAGGCTGGATGCCAGGGAAGGATCAAGTCAGGGAGAGGCCATGGGTCCCAGCCAGGGCCATCCAAGGAATGCAAACTTTCTGGCAACAGCACTCTGAGAGAGGGCAGGAGCTTCTTCTCCCTGGGAACCTGCATGGACGTCTGGTGCTCATGAGAATCCACACTCAGTAGAGGCCAAATGGCCAGGGCCCCTGGTTATCTCCTCGACCTTGGCAGGAAGTGGGTTTCTTCTCAGAAACGGGGCATTGCATTTTCTGTTCAGAGGCCTTGATCATCTGAGACTGGGGGGACAGCTGGAAAGACAGATGCATCTTGGGAACATGGGAGTGGAGCTACTGCAGATCTGAGGAGGGAGGAGTGAATTCCGAAGGGAGTGTGAGTATCTCCCTATGATACTCTGGGTCTGAGCCATGGGAGCGAGAGAGAAAGAGGGGCCGGTGGGGAGGCTTCCTGGGAGGCAAAGAGTCCTCCTGTTGGACAGTGCCACCGGGAACAAAAGCCTCTCCTTGATGAAAATAGTAAAACAAGGCCCCAGCCCCAGCCAAGTGTCTGTTTTCTATCTGGGAACATTCTATTTGGCTGGGGGGATCGAGCCAGAAGAGGCCTTGGGTCTCCACAGCAAGACTCGCCCACGTGTGGCTCTCACTGGTCCCAGTAGAGGCAGGAAGACCCTCTGTGGGTGCAGGCACGCCACCCCTGCTGATGACCAGGCTGTTCCCCACAAGGCAAACCTCGGAGGAGGAGCAGAGCAGGCCCAGCCACTAATCAGCAGGGGGGTGGCACCAGGGAGCGGGCACTCAGGGCAGCAGCCTCCCAGGGAACGTGCCAACTGCTCCTCCTGCACTGGCAGGGCGGGGCGCTGGGAATCTAAATTTAATTCCCCCAGTGTCTCATCTACATAGATTTTGATCTTCGGCCGAGTGAATGGGATGAGGCATCACTGGCTTCACACAGTTCTAACTCCATCTGACCTCGGACCTGGGAAAGTTCTCCATGCAGGGAGGCGCCTTTCAGGAATGTTGCTCTCAGTTATCAGTCCAGTGGCCCACAATGTGTCTGCAAATGATGACCCTCTTCCAGCACAAGGGGGGCTCCATTATTTCGTGAGAGTGGCAGCCCTTTTTGGATCCGTCCCGTGCTCTCTTGCCAGCTGAGCTGGGAACTAGGGACTGGGGGTCTGGGGGGTATGGGGAGATTGGTTCTGAAAAGTCTTGGCCTTTCTGAACTTTGGTCATTCCCAGTTCCCAGGCACCACCTCTTAGACCTGTCCTGGGGTGCTTAGCTCTGGGGCCCCTGCCCCCTGCAGAGCCCACATTCCTCAGTGAGAGTCGTTCCAAGTCTAGCCTAGTTCCCTCAGTGTGCAGCACTGTCTAATCTCCCTGTTACAGATTTAAGGTACCTTCCCCCCCTTAATCCCCTCCCTGCACCCCAGAAAAATAAAGCTTTCTCCTGGGAGGTGACACTATTCCAAGAATGTAAATTCCCTTGTCTAGAGCTTCTCACTCTTTCCAGTAAAACCAGATGCTCCAAAACTCTCCCTGGGGGCTGAGGATGTGGCTCAGTGGTAGGGCATTTGCCTTTCGTACATAAACCCCCAGATTCCATCCCAGGAATAACACACACACACACACACACACACAGACACACACACATACACCCTCCTCCACCTCCTCCTCCTGCTCTCTATTTGCCATGTGCAATCCCTACATAGATATAGTTCGTATCTTACAGATGAGGACGTTTAGGCTCAGAGAGGTCAATGGCTTCGCTAAAGGCACACAGCCTAAACTGTGCCCTCATGGTCCCATGTGGCTGTCTCCCAGCCTCCGAGGAAGCCAACCTGCACCTCTGCTCTCACACCCTTCGCTGGCTCCCTTTTCTGGAGGGATACCGCCCCCGAAGCCAGCCAGCGCCTCTGAGGTCTCCTCCTCTCTGGGTCCCAAGCACACTGCCCCTCACACTGCAACACCACCTCCTAAGAAGCCTAAGAAACCTTGGCCCCTCCTCTGCTGGGTGCCAGCTTTCAACATCTTGCCACGCCTCCCGCCTCCCCATTGTCTGCCTCCCCCTTCACCCCTCCCAACCTCCAGCTTCCCCCACTCCCCTGAAGTTCCTTCTCCCACGTCCCTGGTGGAGTCCCTCGGGGCTTGGTTGCTTGTCACTGCATGTCTCCCACTTTTTTTTTCCAATCCCATCCCTGAAAAGCTCTCACCACACCTGCCCCTGCCCATGCCCACAGCCTGCCTGGGGCACCCATCTCTCAAGATCAGGTTGGGGGGAGCTGTGGGTTGCTGGGATTGAGGGGGTGGTATCCTGGAGCGCTTCTCCCCAGCGGGTATGGGATACCCCTTAGGAACAGGGGACTGGGCGGGGGTAGGCTACAGGGGAGATGGGGTGGTGGGAGGGCACCCAAAGACAATGAGGACTTCACCTTATTTTCAAAAGGCTTGTGGTGTAATTGAGGGGCCAGCAAATATATTCCTGCCTTCCTTCCCTCACCTCACCCCCTCACACACACATGAAAATGAATCAATCAATCAGTATGCAATTGGATCTGTCAGCAACCAGGCTTGGAAAAGGAAACCAATGGAACAGTTGAGTGGTGTTAATCAAGGAACCCTCTCTGGAGGAGTGGACCTGTTCCCTGCTTGGCAGAGCAGAAGTGATACACTCATTTGCTTCCGTGGCGTCATGGACCCAAACCCAATTCAAGTCTGGAATTCTCAGGAACTGAGCTCTTAGGTGCCCCAGCACTGGGCTATGGAAGGAATTTGAATGGGTTTCTGAGACAATTGAAATGGCTTCCAGAAGAGAGGTGTAGGAGGGCCTGGGAAGCTGGGGAGGGAGGCAGGTGAAGGCGTGAGGAGCGTTAAAAGTATGGGGAGGCAAGCAGGTAGAAGGGAGTGACGAGGGAGAGCAGGAAAACAGTGGATGGTGGATCAGGGGGACGAGAGCTGAAGGTGGGCTTGTCCTAGGAATTAGGCCAACTTGGCTTGTCAAGTACCAGCAGGGAAACATGAACACACGTCAAACCTTGATGAACCCAAGTTACCTTTGTAGAAGATAACAAACCAGTATCTCCACCATGTGGCATTTCTGTGATGTTTAAATGAGATGTAGTTCTGCGTACAGAGTCAGCGCCCTCATATTTAGCACCTCTTTCCAGGTAGTCTTTGTTCTAGAAATACAGAGCACACAAATGAGCTAGGATCCAGGACGCAACTTGAATGCCCACTTGTTTTCTATCTCCCTCCACTTCTCTATCCCACCCGCACTGGCCTCAGGTCATCAGGAGTAATGGGGCTCCCTTTGCCGGCTGCATGGTGCTTCCTGGCCCCATGGGGCCACCTTAGAAGTGGACAGTGGAGTAAGATAGGAGCTTGAGTTAGACTTCAGGGGATCGATTCCCAGTTATTATTTGGACAACTTTGCCTTCCTGGGGCCAGACCTTCTCACTTCTTTGACAGGCATGCTGAAGAGTGTGGTCTTTCGAGTTGAGAGACTAGCAAGGGGCCAGAGTCTATAATTCTCTACACACTTGTCAACCTTCCTCAGTTCAGATGGAAGGCTACTGACAGTGAGACCCAAAATGCTTCCTCAATGGGTGGCTAAGCAAGTCACCCCAAATCTCTAGAGACCAACCACCGGTTTTCTCTCTCATAAAATGAATTGTAGCCCCCTCAAAAGCCTTATTTCAAGAGTTCCTGAGTGGTTAGAACTCATGGGTATTCTTAGTGGGGTGGCCCATAGAAACTGGGGTGATTTTTAGGTTTTCCTTCTGCTTCTGGTGTCTCTCCCTTCTCATGGGAGAGGCTCTGTGAACTGACTATGGATCGTTTGGTGGGTCCCGGCTTAGGTTTTTCCCTGTGTCAGCTTCTCGGGGGATGGAGGCAGGACTCATTTCAGATGTCTGTTGTGGGATGGAGGGGAGAGAGAATGGGAGCACGCATGCAGGTACACATCCCCACCCCTCCAAAGTGCTAGAAGGAATCAATTGCGCAGAGATCGGTTTCATGAGGGAGTGTGCTGAACTAAAGGCATTTTGAAGGGCTGTCAGGGATGATTAGGCAACTATCATTAGCACTCAGACCATCCCAGATCCCATTGTTCCTAGTCAGGAACAAGATCTAGATTACTCATCCTTCCAGAGATACCTGGTGTGGCAGCCCAAGGACATGAGTCTGGGGACAGAGTCCTCACAGCAATATCATGGTGTGGGGGGAGCGGAGCTGTGGAGAGATGAGAGGAGTCCTCTCTGGACGTGGGGGTAGGGAAGGACCTAGGAGAGGCAGAGTAGGCTCCGTGGTGAGGGAGAGGGCTGGTGAAGGCTAGCCCTCAGCTGTCCTGGTCAGGATTCCAGGAAGCTTGGCTGGGTGGTCTCCCCAGCTTCCCCTTCTCTCAAAAGTTTTGTCTTCCGTGGTAAAGACTTCCAACAAGGTGCATGGCTGACCCCTTCAAGCTGCCCAGAGCCAGCCAGTTCGGGGCTAGGCTTTCCTCACTGAATCTCCGGGGGCCTGGGGTTCACATGCAACATGAACAGTCTGTCAGGCTCTGAGAAGGCTCAGAGTGGCAGAGCTCAGGTGTTCTTAGATCTCAGAGCCTCTGCTCTCTATTAAGACTGACCAGAAGAGGCTCTCCATGAGAGCCGCTGGGGTTTCCTGGGCTGCCATAATGCATGCTGAGTGTTCTTCCACTTAAACTCTGACTGTCCACCTTCCCCTCTTCAGAGGAAAGAGAAGAAACTTTTCCTCAGCACATGAGTGTGCATGAGGTCAAAAATTCAAAGGGATGACCAGAGCTTCCCGTGCTGTCTGTCTTGCAGGCAGTGGGTGGCACATCTCAAATTCAGCTGCTGTGCTGGTACTCCTCACAGAAGGGATCCTGGGACACTCTAACTCAGCGTATTTGGTTTAAATCCCAAATTTCCAGCTATGTGAATGTGGTCAGGATATTGAAGATCTGTTACCTCATTTTAAAAATGGGTAGAATAATAGCATGCATCTCAAAAGAGTGAAGAGAAGAATACATGGAAAACCAGGGCTTGGCACACGGTTAGTTTTTGATACATGTTAGCGGGAGTTAAGAGTATTATTATTGTCCAGAAATAATGGCCACGTGTCGACCAGGCTTTCCAGACCCCAGCACCGCCCTCCCTTTCAAATACGTTTACACGTTTCTCTCCACGGAGTCTACTTTGAAGCTTGAGCTACCTGTCAAGCCTCTCTCCTCCCTTTGCTGAGCTAAATGTGTGGACTCACTTCTATCCGCCCATCTCCCTGCAGCTCCTGTTTGCACCTGTCTGCTGGGGCTGGTGTTTCTGTCTCCCGCCCTGGCCTCTCTTTGAGCAAAGGAATCAGGGAAAACTTAGAAAAGATTCCATCTTTCTCTTTGGGTCCTTCCAGTGCACCTGTCTGTCCATCCATCCAGCTTGGAGATAGCTTCTCTTTAAATATCCATGCAGTTATAAAGTTTTCATCTCATAAGAAATAACTTCTCTCACGTGTTCACTTCAAGTCCCGGTCTGTGGCAGGGGCCATCCCCTGGTGTGCTCTGGGATCTAGAAAAGGCAGGGCTCGGAAGTGGGGCAGAGAGTTGAGATTGGTCCACCACCTCCACCATCTGCTAAGATTCGAGCAGGGGCGACAACTCTCCTTGCCAAACCCTAAGGGAGAGTGCACCCCAGTGCTTAAAGGGCAAGGCTGGAAGGGAATGTATGAAACTTTGTGAAAGAAGGTGATGAAACATTACCGAGAAGCACCAGGTGGCAGATGTGGGGTCTTATTTTCCCAAAGTCGCAAGTACTTGAAGAGAGATCTTGTCTGATAAAATGATTACCACACCAGTGATCTTGCATACACTGCATTTTTGAGAGCCATCCTGGGAGTTAGGTGTGTAGTGTTTATCCGTATTGTTGAGGCTCGTAAAAATCTTGTATGGCTGCAGGCAAGCCAAACCCTTGAGAGGCACCACATCCCGCTGACTCGAGGACCAAGCCCAATGGTACTCCCTGTATATAAGGGGAAGTCTCTGAGCCAGAGACAGAGGAGTGTTAAACTCCTTTCCTGTCTCCTCTTAGCTCTTGATTTTTCTCTAAATCAACATGAGTCGACAATTTAGCTCTAGGTCCGGGTACCGATGTGGAGGAGGGGGCTTCAGCTCTGGCTCTGCTGGAGCTGTCAGCCATCAGCGCCGGACCACCAGCTGCACTATGCGCCGTAGTGGAGGAGGAGGTGGTGGGAGAATGTTAGGTGGAGGATGTGGTGGTGGTGGTGGTGGTAGTGGTTTTGGAAGCCGGAGTCTTGTTAGTCTTGGTGGCAGTAAAAGCATCTCCATAAGTGTGGCCAGAGGAGGTGGCCACGGTGGCTTTGGGGGAGGTAGCTTTGGCGGTGGTGGCTTTGGAGGTGGTTTTCGCAGTGGGGGAGGTTTTGGTGGTGGTGGTTTTGGCAGTGGAGGTGGCTTTGGTGGAGGTGGTTTTGGAGGTGGTGGCTTTGGAGGCGGTGGTTTTGGGGGTGGATTTGGGCCAGTGTGCCCTCCTGGTGGCATCCAAGAAGTCACCATCAACCAGAGCCTTCTGCAACCCCTCAACGTGGAGATTGACCCTGAGATCCAAAAAGTCAAATCTCAAGAAAGGGAGCAAATCAAGACACTCAACAACCAGTTTGCCTCCTTCATTGACAAGGTGAGTATCTGCTTGGGGCCTGGGGACAGCTTTTCCTGGTCTTTTTGACACTGGTAAAACCAAGACATGTTTGGGTTGGGACTTCAAGGTCTTGGGTTGCATGATTTAAAGGACATTTTGTGGAACTGTCTTCTAGAGGTATGTGAAAATTATGCTTCTGAATGATGCTAATAATGACTAAACTCTTGGTCAAAGGAGTTTCAGCTTATACAAATGTGGGTCCATTCAATATCACTTTGAGGGGGGGTTGGTTTATAAATTTAGCTCTTGAGCTGAAGAGGGACTCACATCTGTTGAATGAAGATCCCAGAAATGGGTCTAACTCAACCTTCTAGAGTGGAAATGAGAAGCCTAGGAAGGTCTTGCTAAGCATTAAAAGGGAACTGAGTGGGAGTTGAGTGCACTGGGACACAGCACAGTACTGTGTCTAGCAAGTCAGTATCACATGGGTTGCTGTCAGGGGGATGATTCCACTCCTGGGAATTTTATAGTGATGTTGGGTCAGGGTGAGAATAATTCAATGTACTTATGTTTTGAAGTTTCTGTTCTGAGAATATACAAACTTTTGGGTCCATTGGGTCCACTTTAACTTGTGCTTGATAATTAATCATTTCAACTCAATATTTATCCACAATAAAATTGAAATTCAATTTTGGATTTTCTCAACATGCTCATCAGCTGTGATATGCTCAGAAAATACAAACCAAGGTTTATGGCAATCTACCTAAAACACTATGGGAAGACGAATTGCTTAAGTATCACATATCTCTCTCACAGTGTAATTAAGATTGTCATTTCCCTATGTTGTTTCTCTGTGCTATTTCTCTTTGCAATTTATTTCTTTGAGCTACTCCCTTCTAAGGTTACACTGAAACAAGGCTATACTTGTTCTCAGGGAAACACAACCTTCTCTGAACAGAGCTTTTTTATGATGATGATACTAGCTTAACAATCTCTGTCATGGCTGGAAAACGAGGAATTGAAGCTTATCTAATAAGATCCAGCCTTGGAGTGCAGCAGCCCTTGGTTTGCAAGGACCATAGATCCCATTTTTGCACCAGTGGGTAATGATGGGGTCTTGTGTTCTCAGGTGCGCTTCCTGGAACAGCAGAACCAGGTGCTGCAGACCAAATGGGAGCTGCTGCAGCAGGTGGATACCTCCACCAAGACCCAGAGCTTAGAACCCTGCTTTGAGTCATACATCAGCATGCTGAGAAAGAAGGTGGACCAGCTGAAGGGCGACCAGTCTCGGATGGACTCCGAACTAAAGAATATGCAAGATATGGTGGAAGATTACAGGAACAAGTAAGGGAATATGACAAGTCTTGATTTTTGCTTGAAAATATACCCAGAAAAACATAAGCTAAGATTTTGAAGATCAGTATGTGTTTTCTTTCTTTCTTTCTTTCTTTCTTTCTTTCTTTCTTTCTTTCTTTCTTTCTTTCTTCCTTCCTTCCTTCCTTCTTTCTTTCCTTCTTTCTTTCTTCCTCTTCCTCCTCCTTCTCCTCCTCCTCCTTCTCCTCCTTCTCCTCCTCCTCCCCCTCCTCCTCTTCCTCCTCCTCCTCCTCCTCCTCCTTTTCTTCTTCTTCTTCTTCTTCTTCTTCTTCTTCTTCTTCTTCTTCTTCTTCTTCTTCTTCTTCTTCTTCTTCTTCTTCTTCTTCTCCTCCTCCTCCTTCTTCCTTCTTTTTAGATTATGTGCAAATCAATTTGTTCCTTACTTTCTAGAAATAATTTGGTGGTTTTGTTGCTCAGAAGGAAGGGAATACTTATGGTGTTTCTGACTAGAAAGAGGAAAGCAGGGATAGATGATGCTGGATTTAGTCTACAGACTGAAGGCCTTCCCAATTCTCTGGTTCTCCTAATCACTTCTGGTTTCCTTGTAGGTATGAAGAGGAGATCAACAAGAGGACAAATGCAGAGAATGAATTTGTGACCATCAAGAAGGTAAGAAAATTCTGTAGATTAGACCCCATTTTGGAAATCTATAGAAGAGGGTCTCTGGTTAGGAAATAAAAGTCATGCCTGCAGATAACCAACAGCAGGTGGCCATGCAGGCCCTGTGGTCCACCAGGAGGAGAGAACTTTGGAGTAGATTCCTCTGATCCTTTCTGCCTATATAAGCAGTTCTATGATGGTGACTAGAGCCTGCCCTGGGGAAACTAGGAATTATTTTTCTTGTATTCCGCTAGGATGTGGATTCTGCTTATATGACAAAGGTGGACCTTCAGGCCAAAGTTGACAACCTTCAGCAGGAAATCGAGTTTCTCACAGCACTCTATCAAATGGTAAGTCTTCCAGTTTCTACTGAATTTTCCCAAATGGAGAAAAATTTAAGCCTGAATGTCCTACTGCCCAGAAGAGCTGGTGTATCTTCCAGCTCTTGGCCCCCTCTCTGCCTAAACTGTTTCTGGTTTCTTTGAACATGAAAAAGTTCCTGAACTATTATGTCTTACAGGAGCTGTCTCAGATGCAGACTAATATCAGTGAAACTAATGTCATCCTGTCCATGGACAACAATCGGTCCCTGGATCTGGACAGCATCATTGCTGAGGTCAAGAGTCAGTATGAAGAGATTGCACAGAGAAGCAAAGTTGAGGCTGAAGCCTTGTACCAGACCAAGGTGAGGGGGAAAAGTTTGTCTTGCTGTTTTGTGTTATCTCTTAAGTTTGTGTGCATAAGGCAGGGTGCACTAAGTGCATCGAATGACTTGCTCCCCCTTCTTTAGTATGAAGAGCTCCAGATTACCGCTGACAAACACGGGGACAATTTGAAAACCTCAAAGATGGAGATTTCTGAGCTGAATCGCATGATCCAGAGAATCAGAGCTGAAATTGAGAGTGTCAAGAAGCAGGTATTGTTTTTTCCTTTTGGCCCTACTTATATGGGCAATCCTTACTAACTGGAAAACATTCTTTGTGTCAACTCTTCGCACCAAGGTTCTGTTGTTCTCTCAATTTCTTTTGATGGCTATGCCGGTTTCCAGAATTCAGTTCTCTTGCAATCCTAGAGAAACTCGAGAAAAAGACCCAGTAGAGAAAGAGATGCCATGGTCATGAGTGACCTAGGTCAGGACCTTCGTGAGTTTTAGGAGTGAAATATAGGCAGCCAGGAAAGTTTGGGACTAGGCAGTTAGAAGAATGTCAAGTCTGTAGGACTCAGGCTCAAGAATCACCTTGAGGGCTGGAGCGATAGCACAGCAGGTAGGGCATTTGCCTTGCATGCAGCCAACCTGGGTTTGATTCCCAGCATCCCATGTGGTCCCCTGAGCACCACCAGGAGTAATTCTTGAGTGTGTAAGCCAGGAGTAACCCCTGTACATCGCCAGGTGTGACCCAAAAAGCAAAAATTAAAAATAAAAACAAATATAAATAAAATAAAAAAGAATCACCTTAAAAGGCTTGGCAGGAAGAGGACACAGTGACGTGTTGTCTGGAGGTAAACGCATGAGAGGATGTACGAGTCCAGGTTCTCTCATACCCAGACTCCTGGCCCACTGGGCTGGAGGAGGGATTGTGTTGGGATGGAAAGGTCAAGATGGGTTAGTCGAAAGGAGAGAGTCACGTGCTGTATTCTCCTTTTTCAGAACTCTGGGCTGCAACAGTCCATCAGTGATGCAGAGCAGCGAGGTGAGAACGCCCTGAAAGATGCCCAGGGCAAACTGAATGAGCTGGAGGATGCCCTGAACCAAGCCAAGGAGGACCTGGCCCGGCTGCTGCGTGACTACCAGGAGCTGATGAGCACCAAGCTGTCCCTGGATATGGAGATTGCCACCTACAGGACCCTCTTGGAAGGAGAGGAAAGCCGGTGAGGAAGGGCCCCTGGGGGTATTGGGTGCAGTGACGGCTCCCTTCCCTGTAAGCTGGCTGGAGTTTAGCAGCTTGTCCTGGGAAGGCAGGAGGATAGGGAGATGGCTGACTATCTCCATGAGGTGCTGAGATGGAGCTCACTGTCCATGGGACTCGCTCAGGTGTCATCTGCTCCCAAAGGTGCCTTCTAACTTCAGACTGGCAGCAAAGCTCTGGTCTGGTTTTATGAAAACTTCCCAAGCTAAGAGAAAGAAAGAAAGAAAGAAAGAAAGAAAGAAAGAAAGAAAGAAAGGAAGGAGGGAGAGAAAAAAGAAAGAGGGAGAGAAAGAAAAAAGAAAGAGAAAGAAAGAAAGAAAGAAAGAAAGAAGAGAGAAAGAAAAGAAAGAGGGAGAGAAAGAAAAAAGAAATAAAGGAAGGAAGGAAGGAAGAAAGAAAGAAAGAAAGAAAGAAGAAAGAAAGGAAAGAAAGAGGGAGAGAAAAAAGAAAGAGGGAGAGAAAGAAAAAAGAAAGAGAAAGAAAGAAAGAAAGAAGAGAGAAAGAAAAGAAAGAGGGAGAGAAAAAAGAAAGGGAGAGAAAGAAAAAAGGAAGAAAGAAAGAAAGAAAGAAAGAAAGAAAGAAAGAAAGAAAGAAAGAAAGAAAGAGCAAGCAAGTCACACAAAGCCATCCAGGGGGTCTCAGAGGGGACCCGCTTAGGCCCTGGTGAACTGGGTGAGGTCTCTCAGCGCAGAGCGGGGGAGAGGGCTTGGAGGGCGGTGGGGGGAAGGCAGGGGATTCACTCTTCTCTCTCCGCCAGGATGTCGGGAGAGTGCACCCCCAACGTGAGTGTGTGTAAGTACCGGGGTGGTCCCAGGGGGCGGGGGCGGCTTGGCGGGGGAGGCGTCCGGCCGGACAGATTGGAACTAACTGCGCGTCCCCTTGCAGCGGTGAGCACCAGCCACAGCAGCATCAGCGGCGGCCGCAGCGGCGGCGGCGGCAGCTACGGCTCCGGCGGCGGCGGCGGCGGCGGGTACCGAACCGGCGGCAGCGGCGGCGGCGGCGGCGGCAGCGGCGGGTACCGCACCGGCGGCAGCGGCGGCGGCAGCTACGGGTCCGGCGGCGGCAGCGGCGGCGGCAGCGGGGGCCAGAGAGGCGGGTCGGGAGGCGGCGCCGGCGCCGGCGGCGGCAGCAGCTCCGGGGGCGGCCGGGGTTCGGGCGGTGGCAGCTCTGGGGGCAGCTTTGGCTCTTCTGGCGGCCGGGAGTCCGGCTCTGGGGGCAGCAAGACCACCAGTGGCAGTTCCAGCGTGAAGTTTGTGTCCACTAGCTACTCCCGAGGGCCCAGATAGAGCCTCCTCGCCTGTTGGCTCGCCCACTCCGTCACCTACCCACACCTGCAAGGCAAGAACAGAGCTCCATCCAGCCTGGGTGGAGAAAACAAAAAACAAACCCCCCAAAAAACGCTATGTGTAGTTAGTCGGTTCCTCCCGCCGGTTCCTCCCGCCGTCCCCAGTTCTTTCCTTTTCTGCCTACCTTTCCAAAGAAGCTTTTCCATCTCAGTCCCTCCCGGCTAGGACCCTGCTCCGTGCTTTGCCCAAGACCTAGATGAGCAGTGACAGGTCGTGCTATCACATTCCAGAGCACCTAAGTCAGCCGAGGGGGGCTGCTGGGACCCCAGGGTTCTCCCCCACAGAAACCCCCAGTCCCAACAGCGCCTGTCACCTCCCTTTTCTTGCAGGCGGCTCTGTGCTGCTTCGGTTTTTGTACATACGGTGTAAGCAAATCGTCTTTTGTGGAGACGGCTTGAACTCTGCGTGTCCCTGTGTTGCTGCAATAAACTGCATTTGAAATTCTCAGAGTCTCTTCTGCCTTCATTCATGGTCCTGTCTACCCGGGAAGGGTGGTGGCAGAGGAGTGTGTGTGTGTGTGTGTGTGTGTGTGTGTGCGCGCGCACGCACGCTGTCTTGGGAAACACGTACCCCAACTGGGCAAATGGAGAAGCAACACTGACCTTTAAACACTCTACACCCTCTTTTTCTTCTTTCCCTTTTTCTCTTTCAGGTGTCATGATTTGCAGTACTGTCCATGATGCTAGGGGGTGTTCATGCTTACAGTGCTCCAACACCATACCCTTTGCCAGAACCTCTATCACTGTCTCCGTAAACACTTCACATGCCATTAGAACATGGGGTGCACATGTGGGGTGGGGGTGGGGGCAGACAGAAATGGAGAGACAAGGGTAGCGGGTGTCTTCATCAGAGAAGTCTTTCCTGAGAGGAGAGTGGGCCGGCAGGTTGCCAGGAGCTTGGCACTGAGAAGAAGGGGCTGTGTTGCATGGAAGAGGTGTTAATATGGAACAGCCAGAGACGAGAGGAGAGTGGGTAATGCAGGCTCAGCAGCTGCTTTCCAGAACTCAGAGCACAGCAGAGAGGTGAGTGGCCCCTTCTGCTGTGAGGCCACACTCAAGCTGCTTCACCTAAGGAGTTCCCACGGGGACTGGCAGCTGGTTCTTGTGAAATAAGGCACAGAGTAACTCAATAGTCAGAAGCACAGCTTTGAACTCAGAGATGATAGGCTTTGACCACCAGTGCTTAGTATCTCTGGGAGAATGTGCTATCAGCCTCACCGTGGCTCAGTTTTACTATCTGAAAAATGGGAGTAAGAGTTCCCCCTGGGAATTGCTGTGAGGATTGAATGAGATGAGGAGAGGTCACGGCTTAGCACCTAGTGAGCACTAGGATGACTTCTTGCTCTCAGTGCTAAGGTGATGACGCTGTTGGTGAACTGGCTGTTGTACCACGGCTAGCTGGCCACCAGATAGCTCAGGAGATGTTTGCTCTGAGGAACAAATGAACATCAGAGTTTCAGGGGGTCTAGGATCACAACAAGGCAGTCAGCTTCTCTGAGGATCAGTTCAGCTTCCAACGAGGAAAATCTTTCCGGTTTCAGTGTTAATCAAGGCTGAGGCAAGCATGGAGAGTACCGGTCAGCAGTGTCATTCCTGGCACTTCTTAGGGACCACATGTGGTCAGGAGATAGAAGTGGGGTTAGTCTCTTGCAAGGTAATGCTCTCTGTTTGTGTATTTGTGTTTGCTTCTTTTGGGACCACATCTGGTTGTACTCAGGGCTTACTCCTGCCTCTGACCCCAGGGGTCACTTCTGACCAGTTTGGGGGACCATCTGGGTAATGGAAATTGAACTGGGATCAGCCAGGTGCAAGGCAAGTGCCTTAGCTGCCGTATGTACTATGGCTACAGCCCGTCAGCAGAAGTATTATGGGAGGACCACACAGTGAAAGTCATTCCCGTACCCCAAGTCTCCTTCACCTGAGCTTTTCCCTGACTGAACTCTGAAGAGCATGATGATGGAGAGAAAGAAGCAAGAAATTTGATTCTAAGCGCGTGGGATTAACCCATTCTGGTATTCAAGGGGCAAACAAGGGTACATTGTCCACCACTGAGAGGATATGTGAGTCCTTGAACTGGACACTTGATCATTCTAAGCCTCAGCGGTCTTGTAGGCAAGTGGGGGTGAAAATATTTGCCCGAAGACAGCAAGAATATACCATATACAATGTAAAAATGCTTTCTGAACTGTAGCTATGCTATATAGAAGGTCACTGTCACTGTCACTGTCCTCCCATTGTTCATCGATTTGCTCGAGTGGGCCCAGTAACGTCTCCATTGTGAGACTTGTTACTGTGTTTGGCATATTGAATACATCACGGGTAGCTTGCCAGGCTTTGCCGTGTGGATGAGATACTCTCGGTAGCTTGTGGGGCTCTCTGAGAGGGGCGGAGGAATTGAACCCGGCTCGTAATGGAAATTAAAAGGGAGAGAAAAATAAAGGAGAGAAGGTGATTGGATGATGCAACACCTGGGACCATATGAGTGAACCAATGAGAATATTATAGTACTTGGCACAACTTTTATAATTTTGTTCTTTTTGTTTTGGAACGACATTCAACTGTTCTCAGGGTTCATTCCTGGCTCTGTGCTCAGAGATGATTCCTGGCACTGTTTAGGGTCCATGTGCAATGCGGGGGTAGAACTGGGGTTGGTCTCTTGCAAGGCTTATCAGCTGTGTTTTCGTAATTTGGGTCTTCTAATTTCCTTCTTAGGTTATAGCTTCCTTTAAAGATTATTAAATATTGGGAATGTCCTTGTTCACCTTGTTTGGACTTGGGTTTTCTTGATAAGGTTAAATATGGAACAGAGAAAATTATGTGAACACGTTATAAGATAAGTAAGATTAAGAGTCCATTACATCAGCATTTGAAAATCAGCAAAGAAAAAAAATCTGGATTCTATTCAGCTCTACAGTTTGTGCACATATATTACGTGTTAGGTATGAATGAGACCAAATACTGGGGATTTGTATATGAGTGAGTACTGATTTTTTTTTGTCTCAAAGAACTTAGAGACTAGAATGTCGAAGCATGTACAAACATGACCTTACAATGAGCACAACAATGCAATGGAAGAAACACACACAAGGCATAGAAAAGGTACCTTCAGATGGGAGAATGAGTATGAGTAAAAGTGGTGCCTGGCAGATTGGGTGTTCAAGGAGTTAAAGGAGTTTGCCTGTCCAAGAAGGAAAGTCAAGACAGACTAGGACACTTAAGGCAAAGGTCGCTCCTGGCAAGAATAAAATGGAATAAGACTGGACAAGTGAAATTGTATACATGATCAGATCATCAAAAGGGCATGAACTTAGTGACAGGGAATGAGGGTAAACAGTCTCATATAACCAAGAAGGACCTTTGAGAAAAGTGTTGAACAAAATCTGGACTCTAATTCATCATGGGTCAGAAGTTTTCAGGTGAAGCGTATTTGTTTATTAAAACCTTCTACGTACTGTACCAATGGAGCAGGGGCTGGTGGCGGTGGGGGTGAGGGTGGGGGACGAAGCCTGAGCACTAGTGGAATGAGGACCCAGCCCAAAGCAGAACTGTCTAGGACTTGAGTATCCCTTAAGAACTCTTCTCTGTTTCTGGGAGATTTGTCATGTAAATATACTTTAGAGTACTTTATGGGTAGAAAATCTGTGAAAGGGGAGAAGCAGCCTGGCATGGCACCCACTAGGCGAATAACAGGCGTTTTAGAGGTATCACTCGGGCCAAGTTGGAGGAGGAAAGCTTAAAGGTAGGAAGATTTGCTAGATTATTGGGTAGGTTCACCCAAAAGATTACACAGACCCATACCTTGTTTCAAATTCTTAAAGTTGTTAGAGAGATCAGGAATGAGGATGAGGATCTGCACCCAGAAGTCCTTTGCGGTGGGGTGGTGGCAAGGCCAGTGGGAAGCAAACAGAAGCAGGAGAGGGACTTCATGTTCCTGGCTTGGAACATAATATATCAAGTGCGTTATGACAGGAGAAACAGTAAGTCAGTTCTTTGGAGGTACTTCTACTGTAGATGTGTAAACTGAAGGTCATCGAATCTGAAAGTTAGGGCATCCCTCAGATAACTCAGGATGCAGAGAATCCCCATCAGGAAAGTCAGCAATATGAAGGCAAAGATGGAGAAATGGAGAAATCTTCTAATTCTCAATTGGGAAAAACAGTTATTTAGGGGCTAACCAGCCCGAATACTGAGGTCCCCCAGAACTAGTAAGGTCCTCTCAACATCTTTGATTTCAATACCTCATCCTTGGTTGGGTCCAGTGGATTTGATATGTGGTTCTTGTCCAAGTAATAATATTCAGAAGAAGTGAGTGAATTAGTACATCTGGGTGATTAAAAATAAAATCAATGTTTTGGCAAATTTATGTAACTTTATGTAAAATGACACTGAGGAACTTATAACTTTCCTCAAAGGAATGACTGTGATGTGAAAAATGATTCTGTTGTTTTAGCTTATCTTTATTAAATATTTTTGCTGTATCTAACTGCTGCACAGGTATCATAAAAGACTATGAAGTTCTATCATTCTTCTACTTTTGAACTAGAAGTTACATTCTTTTTTGGGGGAAGGGTCACACCTGGCGATGCACAGGGGTTACTCCTGGCTCTGTACTCAGGAGTTACTCCTGGCGAAGCTAAGGGGACCATATGGGATGCTGGGGATTGCTATCGCTCCAGCCCCAAGAAGTTACATTCTTTATGTTGCAGGATTCTATACTTTTTTATTTTGAAAATATGTCAATCCTTAAACCAATTAATAATTTGAAACTAAGAGTTTACAGTTTTTTTCCTATATTTTTTGTAATCAAACAAGACCATAATTTTGGTCTTATCACAATCTTTATAAATATTATCAGTGGTTGAAGAAAAAGTAAAAGCTCCTATTTATTTCTGCTGTGTTGCTGAGTTTCCTTTCTCTAAGTAACTGCAGTTTCATAAGATTTCTTTC